CAGGAATCTTTTGCCCAACGTGGGGCTCGAATAATAATAATATAATAATAATAATTTATTATTTGTACCCCGCCCATCTGGCTGGGTTTCCCCAGCCACTCTGGGCGGCTTCCAACAAAGATAAAAAATACACTAAAATGTCACATATTAAAAACTTCCCTGAACAGGGCTGCCTTCAGATGTCTTCTGAATGTCAGGTAGTTGTTTATCGCTTTGACATCTGATGGGAGGGCGTTCCACAGGACGGGCGCCACTACCGAGAAGGCCCTCTGCCTGGTTCCCTGTAACTTGACCTCTCGTAGTGAGGGAACCGCCAGAAGGCCCTCGGAGCTGGACCTCAGTGTCCGGGCAGAACGATGGGGGTGGAGACGCTCCTTCAGATATACTGGACCAAGGCCGTTTAGGGCTTTAAAGGTCAGCACCAACACTTTGAATTGTGCTCGGAAACTTACTGGGAGCCAATGTAGGTCTTTCAAGACCGGTGTTATATGGTCTCGGCGGCCGCACCCAGTCACCAGTCTAGCTGCCGCATTCTGGATTAGTTGTAGTTTCCGGGGCACCTTCAAAGGTAGCCCCACGTAAAGCGCATTGCAGTAGTCCAAGCGGGAGATAACCAGAGCATGTACCACTCTGGCGAGACAGTCCGCAGGCAGATAGGGTCTCAGCCTACGTACCAGATGGAGCTGGTAAACAGCTGCCCTGGATACAGATTTGACCTGTGCCTCCATGGACAGCTGTGAGTCCAAACCCGTGAGATCGAGCCTCTCCTGCTCTACAGACTGAACCTGGAGACGCCAAGGATTGAACCTAGGGCCTTCTGCATGCAAGGCAGAGCTCTACCAGTGAGCCACGGTCCTTCTCCACATGCAAGGAGGTAGGCGGAGCCAGAAGCAAATGTAGGTGGAGCAAATGGTGTCAATTTTACCTTCATGCGGTCAGGCTAGCTCCTCCAAGCACTTGCACAGATCCTCCTCCTCTCAGAGCAAAAGGACACAGATACAAACACTCAAGGAGGGTGTGGCACAGGGCCAGGGAGGGGTGTGGCCTGGGATAAGGGGGTGTGGCCTGGCAGTGAATCCCGGGGGCCAGATGGAGATGATGAAGGGCCGCACACTCAGTGCATCACAGCCCTGAGATTCCCCACCTGTCTTGAAATTTCTTCAGAGGTCTTGAATAGAGAGAGGAAAGCTGACAATCGACCGTGAAAACATCAAAAGCCGAATCCTCTCCACTCTCGGAAGGGTCCTGCATTTCCAAATGAAACCGGACATGAAAGATTCCCGAGATTTCTCCGTGTATCAGGTGAGTCTGGCAAAAATCTAACACCATATGCAGACAAACATTTTAACAGATCTCTTATTTTTGGTCTTCAGAGACGCTTTGATTATTGAACCCGCATTTCAGAGGTGCAGTTGCCAGGGGAAAAACCTCCCACCACCACCGCCACTGATGGCATAAAAATTATTATCTGCTTTCTGGAAAAGACATCCCTGAAACAAATCCCTGACAAGACAACCAGGATGAGAAAAGTCACTTTCAAATTACCATCACAACAATTCTTCCTCCTTCTCCAGGTATCAAAAGATCGGCTGTGTACAAAACCACAAAAGTAATCAGGGAGCTTGTTTCCGATCGTGCTGATGTGTGCAAAAAGTGACAATTAAAATTCTCCTTTATGATATGGAGCTGGGAGGGTGTTTTTCTTTTTCATTAAAAAACACACACACACACTGGGGTGTGCTTTTCTACAGTTATATCACAAGGACAATTATATTCAGGCTTAAGGCAAAAGAAAAAGGAAGATTATAAAAATGACGTTTTTGACATTTAAAAATACCCAGGAAATTAAATGGAGGAGCAGGAGGCAGCAATGATTGCATTTAGAAACATAGGAGATCAGTATGCAAACTTGTACTCGGCCATACCGTCAGTCTGTCTAGCTTTTATGCTTGACACTCACCGGCACCACCCACCAAGATTTCAGGCAAGACACAGTCCCCGGCCTAGTTGGAAATCTGAACCTGTGGCTTTCTGCATAGAAAACAAGTTTTCTATCATTCAATTGAAGGCCTGCCCTTTACTTTTAAGATTTAAGATTCCAGTCCTCATTGTTCTGAATAGTTTGGGCTGACCCAGTAGGGCTCTCCTTTTGTTCTTACGATACGGCAAACTAGAAATTTTAACTCTCAGCACCCTTAGGGACGTGGGTGGTGCTGTGGGTTAAACCACAGAGCCTAGGACTTGCTGATCAGAAGGTCGGCGGTTCAAATCCCTGCGACGGGGTGAGCTCCCGTTGCTCAGTCCCTGCTCCTGCCAACCTAGCAGTTTGAAAGCACATCAAAGTGCAAGTAAATAAATAGGAACCGCTCTGGCGGGAAGGTAAACGGCGTTTCCGTGCGCTGCTCTGGTTCACCAGAAGCTTAGTCATGCTGGCTTAGTCATGCTGGCCACATGACCCGGAAGCTGTCTGCGGACAAACGCCGGCTCCCTCGGCCCATAGAGCGAGATGAGCGCCGCAACCCCAGAGTCGGTCACGACTGGACCTAATGGTCAGGGGTACCTTTACCTTTTACCCTTAACAAACTACAGTTCCCAGGATTCTTTGCAGAGAGCCAAGATGGTTTAAAGTAGTACAATCCCGCTTTCAAAGTATAGCGCAATATATGGCGTAACTTAAGTCCAGTGGTTTCAACTGGTCTGCTCAGAGCATGGCTTAACTCAGATACAACCCAGTCTTGTACAATGAGGTATTTTGTTGGCGCCATCTGTCGTTATTTTTTACCACAGAGTAGGCTTTTTTTTAAAAAAAAAAAGTTTCAGAGTTTCTATACTTTCATGTTTATTTCCTACACCACTTTGGGGGGAGGGGTTCTTGAAAAGCATTTAGAAATCTCTCAAATAATCATTAATAATATAAAATCGTTGCCCTCAAAATGGCATTCCATTTTTATATATATATATATATATAAAAATGGTTTCTCATGCAGAGAGATACAAAATACACACATACACAAATACGGAGAATCAGAGCTTGGTATCAAGGATAAAGAAATGGCTTTTATTCCCATTTCCTTCCAGCAAACAAGAAAGGATGAAATGATATCTTGCTATAAAACTGTTTTCTGCCCATAGTGAAGCAAACCGCAATCTGTATCTTTACCACCACCTAGTGGGAAGAATATACTTCCTCCTTCCTAAGAAACTGAAATTTCATACCAATTCCCGGGTTTTTATAATGCTGTATTATTACATTTTATTTTATTTTATTTTTAAAAAACCAGACTTCTGCAGAACAGGGAAAGCAAAGCAAATGAAACATTCCACTTGCGTTCTTTTAATAGTTTTGCTACAGGCCAAGGTACACATGACTGAAATGGATCCTCGTTGCGAAGAACGGAATCTACCATGTTTTTCGCTCTATAAGACGCACCAGACCACAAGACGCACCTAGTTTTGGCAGGAGGAAAACAAGAAAAAAAATATTCTGAATCTCAGAAGCCAGAACAGCAAGAGGGATCTCTGCGCAGTGAAAGCAGCAATCCCTCTTGCTGTTCTGGCTTCTGGGATAGCTGTGCAGCCTGCATTCGCTCCATAAGACACACACACATTTCCCCTTACTTTTTAGGAGGGAAAAAGTGAGTCTTATAGAGCAAAAAATACGGTAATTTTTCTGATACACCATACATAGGGAAGACTCCAGAGGCAAGGGAAAAGCTGGCCTAGGCAGACCACTAGCCAGACTCAGTAGGTCATCTTCCTATATCTGTAAAGTGTTCTCGGGATTTTGCACTGCACTCAATGGAGTCTTAACCCCTTGCTCAACCCCAGAACCCCTCCACCTTTGAGATTACAGAGGAGAGGAATCGAAAACCACCTTCGCCAGGCTAAGAGAGGCAGGTTGGATCATACAGGGTCGTTCCTCTGCCCAGCTTGAGCTCCCCTCCCACTGGCCAACGCACAAACAGATCAAAATACACTGGAGGTTTGGGCAGCCATTGTAACGCGTGGGGTCTTAGAGATACCTGGTCTACTCACTGAGATACATGAGGTGTGTGCGATGCTTGGTCCAGTGGTGTACAAACTTTTTTCAAATAGGGCCAGATTTGATGAAGTGAAGGGCCGTGACAGCCGACCAAAGGACTGACCCAAATTGTTGACCTTTTTTAGGATTGAAGTTGTTGCGCTTTTTGCTTTTTTTTAGGGTTGACATTGACATTGTTGTGCTTTATACTGCCACTGGGGCCAGATTAAACCGACCAGCGGGCCGAATTAGGCCCCCGAGACAGACAGACAGACTTTGGACATGCCTGGACTCTACACCCTAAGGTGCACGAGAGTTTTAAAGGGCTGGGTTTATACCCTGCCGTCATGCATCATCATCAGGATTAAAAGTCTTGCAGAGCACATTCTCTCTCTCTCTCTCTCTCTCTCTCTCTCTCTCTCTCTCACACACACACACACACACACACACACACACACACCTTCTGTCACGTAACAGCTGTGGATGCCTTGTGGCCCTGCTGCTCCACCAACCCTGTGTGGTGGAAGGGAGTAGAATTGAGGACTGTGTTCCAATCCTTTCTTTCTGGCCCAGAATATTCCCGGGTGCAGCTCCCCTAATCCCAGAACTTCTGGGTGAGTTCCTCAAAGGCACAGTGTTTTTGTTTTGTTTTTCTTACAGAAGCATCACGGGTCTCTCTCTCTCTGGCTGCAGATCGAGTGCAAGAGGATTCCTGCGGAAGAATTTTATCAAAAGAAAAAGAACAAAAAAAAACAAGTGTTAGAAGAGTTTCAACAGTCGGCAAGATTTTACTTGCTTGCTCAGGAAGGAAGAAGCTTCAAGGAGAGATGAGTTCAAAGGTGGAATCGCTTACCAGCTGCAACAGACACATTTAAGGACTCGATCCCAGGCGGCAGCTCTCGCCCTGGGAAAATGGTCAACATCCTTTGGCACAAGCTTCTAGTCCCCGGAGAAAGGCCATAACCTTCATTTCCTGCACACGGGCAAAACACAAAGCAATAAAAAGCCAGGATTTTAATTTTGTGGTCTTGCCCCAAGTGCTCGTGGAGCCTCTGAGGGACACATACAAAAACCACACCCTTGCACATAAATAACATCATTTCCGTCCCTTTAAGAAAGCATAGAGCTGGAGAAAGAAGTAGGAAGAGTGGCACTTAATTCGTTCCAGTGCTGCCAGATCCTTTAAAAGGATCTAGGATTGCAGCTCAACATAACTGATACTCAGAACAGACCCATTGAAATGAATGGACAGCTTCTGTCCCCATCTAATTGCCCCAAATTTTCAGATTCTCCTATCTTTCTCCTCGCGCTTCTGCAAACCGCAGGCCCCTTCCTCTCCCCCAAATCTCCCAGGCTCCCTGCCCTGTCCAATTTTCTCTTTTCTGCCAAGCGCTCAACAGAGAGTGGAAATCATCGCCGGCGAGAAGAGGCCAGCCCACTCTCGGGAGCCCCTCCGCTCCGCCGAAAGAGATTCCGTTCCCTCGCAGGGACGAGCCGAGCCGTCCTTCAAAGTAACAGCCCCTGACTGTCACCGCAGTCCCCGGCTCGTCGTCCCGCCGCCTGTTGTGGAGATGGATTTCCCCGCAGCTCATCATTCCCGCCCCCGACTTGCCAGTATCTCTTTCCTCCCTGTAATCGAAAAGGTATCCGAGCCCCGGGAGTGACGCCGCGGCGTCCTGTCAGCTCCCCGGCTTCAATCAGCGTTTCGGTTAAAGATGAGCCTGGCAAGGAAAGGAAAGGGGACCATTGGGGCACCGCCGCCTTTCCCGCCGCAGAGGAATAACCCAAAGCATCTCTCATGCTCCCAGTCACGGGCAAACAGCCCCCGGCGCATAACTCAGGAGAGACTCCTTAGCGGTGGATTTCTGTCCTGTAATACAGGGGAACCAGCGGCCCTCCCTGCGGGTTGCGATGGACCCTCCATGTTCGGATGCAGTCTCTCTCTTAAAAGCCAGGCGCTGAAGGTAAAGGACAGCGGGGAAGATATCTTCCCTGTTCCCTTTCAGCTTTCCGAAAATCGATGGGCTGGCAGACGGTGGGTGCACAATACTTTGGTATGGCACAGGTAAAGCCAGGGCGAGGGGGCACGTCTGTGAGACTCTAGAGGTTGTGCAACTACAACTCCCAGCATCCTCTGCCAGGCCGGCCAATGGCCAGGGACGATGAGAGTCTAGAAAGGTCTGGAGGGATGTCTATGGTACGCTATCCCACAATAACCCTTTGGCTGACTAATATTCTACAGCCTTTTAAATGGCGTTTGTGGAAGATGCGGGCTATCATTTTGTTGTTTTTGTTTCAACTACAGTGGTACCTGAGGGTACAGATGCTTCAGGTTACAGACCAGGTTACTAACCCAGAAATAGTACCTCGGGTTAAGAACTTTGCTTCAGGATGAGAACAGAAATTGCTCAGCGGTGGTGTGGCGGCAGCAGGAGGCCCCATTAGCTAAAGTGGTACCTCAGGTTAAGAACAGTTTCAGATTAAGAACGGACCTCCAGAACGAATTAAGTTCTTAACCCGAGGTACCACTGTACTTATTTGTGCTTTTACTTCGTATTTTATCTTGCGGACGGCCGTGAGATCTTGCAACGAAGGGCGGTTACATCAATCGAACAAATAAAAAATAAAAATAAAAACTGGAGCACACCCCGGACCCAAGTCCTTGCAGTCTCCTGGCTGCCTTCCTTTATTTGTCAGGGGTGTCGCAAGACCTCCAAGCTTCTTGGGAGGCAATGTGGTATTGTGGTAAATGTGGGGGGGGAGGCAAGTTCAAATCCTCTCCCAGCTACCCGGCTAACAGGGGCGGGGGGGGGGTGGAATCTTTAACCGGTTTGTTGTTTCTTGGCCTAGCCTAGCTCACAGGGCTGTCGCTCAGGGAAATACCCATAAGGCACTAGCAGCCGTAGATTCCAAGTTGGCAAACCCTTCCCCATCCACACACACACACACCCGGTCTACACTGACTGGCAGTCCCTCTCCAGGGTTTTCAGCCTGGAATCATTCCCCACCCTACTTGGGGATTGAACCTGGCACCTGTTCTGTCCCTGAGCTACGGCCAGCTTCTCTGCAAAAGTTTGGCCCTACAAAACAACAACAACAACAACTTTATTATATATACCCCACCCATCTGGCTGGGTTGCCCCAGCACAAATAAAAACATAACAAAACATGAAACATTAAAAACTTCCCAATACAGTGGTACCTTGGTACTCGAACACCTTGGCTTCCGAACAAATCGCCTCCCAAACACCGCAAACCTTTAAGTAAATGTTCTGGTTTGCGAACATTTTTTGGAAGCCAAACCTCTGACGCGGAGGACAAGCGGCTTCCGGTTGGTTCTTCTGATTACAAGAGCCAATAAGAAGCTGCGCTTTGGAAATTGACCGTTTCGGAAGTCGAACGTCCTTCCGGAACGGATTACGTTCGACTTCCGAGGTACCATTGCACAGGGCTTCCTGAAAATTTAAGTGCCGCCATGTTACATACCTAGCAGCAGTATGGCGGGTCCCTTCCAGCGGAAATCTAAGCAACTCACGGTGGGGACAGAATCCAGGTCCTTGGTGTGAGCAGCTGTTCCTAGGACTTCCCATCCTTGCTCTGATTTTGCCTTCCAGAAGAAAAGACGGGTGAGATAGGAGCAAGAGAAAAGGGCAAACTTGAGGATTACTTCGTATAAATTCCCACTTCCATGATATGGAAGAAAAAGATACATCTGCGCTAGTTGGTGTTTGTTCACTGTTTAAATCAGAAACTCAAACTTCATGGGTTCCCAGGAAGCACCACGGGTTAAGAACAATAAATGAAGCCTCAACACAGAACCAAAAGCATCTGACCAACTATTTCCTGGTGCGAGGTGGCCCAACTTCCATTGCAGCCAGAAATTCAAACCCAGAGGAAGTCCAAGTATCCCTTGATAGCTGGGAGTCTCTCTCCAGCCGCTGGAGTGGAGGACCCATCAAACTGAGCACCAGTGTGGAGCTGTGGTTAGAGTGCCAGGCAAGGGCCAGGATTCAAATCCCAGTACATTTCCAAGCACAATTGAAAGTGTTGGTGCTGACCTTGAAAGCCCTAAATGGCCTTGGCCCGGTATAACTGAAGGAGCATCTCCACCCACATTGTTCAGCCCGGACACTGAGGTCCAGCGCCGAGGGCCTTCTGGCGGTTCCCTCACTGCGAGGTTACAGGGAACCAGGCAGAGGGCCTTCTCGGTAGTGGCACACGCCCTGCGGAACGCCCTCCCATCAGATGTCAAGGAAGTAAACAGCTACCTGACTTTTAGAAGACATCTGAAGGCAGCCCCGTTTGGGGAAGTTTTTAATGTTTGATGTTTTATTGTGTTTTTAATATTCTGTTGCAAGCTGCCCAGAGTGGCTGGGGAGGCCTGGCAAGATGGGCGAGGTATAAGTAATAAATCATTATTATTATTATTATTATTATTATTATTATTATTACTACAGTGGTACCTCTGGATGCGAACGAGATCCGTTCCAGAGCCTCTTCGCATCCTGAAGCAAACGCAACCCATGTCTGTGAATGTGCGGGTCACAATTTGACGCTTCTGCGCATGCGCATGACGTCATTTTGAGCATCAGCGCATGCACAAGCAGCGAAACCCAGAAGTAACATGCTCCGTTACTTCCAGGTCACCGCGGAGCGCAACCCGAAAACGCTCAACCCGAAGTATGACTGTATTTTCAAATCCTCGCTCGGCCATGAAGCTTGCAGGGACAGGCGTGGACCAGTCACTGCCTTTCAGCCTAACCAACCTCACAGGGCTGTTGTGGGGACTAAGCAAGGAGGGGGAGAGCCACGTACTCTTCCTTGAGCTCCTTGGGGGAAATTAGGAAAGGCCTTGCCTCTAGCTACTGTGAGAGGGGGGCAGAGGAACAGCTTAGCACAGGTGCTTCCGGACTACAACTCCCATCATCTCTAACCACTGATCATGCTGGCTGTGGCTGATTGGAGGTGGAATCTAATGACATCAAGAGGGAAGCAGGTCCTGCTCCTCCAAGACAGACTTTGCCCTTATCCAGGAAAACAAGTTGCTATTGCATACATGCTCCCAGCTCATCCTTTCAACACAACCACCTACAAAATCCATTTTTAGAGGGGGGAGGGGAGGAAATCTGCCTCGTTTTCTGAAAAAACCTGCCATTTCCAGGCCGTAACGACACTGGGATTTATGCTAGCTTCGCAGCAAAGGTGAAGCCGGCCAACGTGGACCCAATTAAACAGAGCGCCTCAATGGCCCAAATGTTCATAAATTGCACATTTATAGTAGAGGGAAGCGGTCCGCACAGATGTTTCAATTAAGTTGCAACACCTTCTTAATGGCCTCTTTATGGGGTCGTTCCAGAGCGGGGCGGCTGGCAGAGGGGGAGGCTCCCCAGACCCACAGGAAAGGGGCAGAGAAAAGGCGGCTGAAAAATTAGGCCATTTGCCTTTCATTGTCTGGAAGGCATGAAATCGTCTCCTGGCCGACTCAATGCCCAACTGGTGGGAAGACGGGTCTTGGGCTTGTGTCGTGTGTGTCCCGCTCATCGGATAAATTCCATCCTTCTCCCAGCTTGTTAAGGTTACCAGATTCTTTTCAATGAATCCGGGGACACTTGGACGTTGATGCTGCAGCGATGGCGGTGGCAGAGGGGCAGCCGCCGCCTTGACCTCAACCGCCTTCCTCCAAGACTTCTATCTCCTTTCTCCATGAGCCTGGGCAGCCCCTGAGTTGTTGGTTTTTCGGTGGTGGTGGTGGTGGGGAAGTGGTGCGCGGTGGGTTAGGCATGGAAGGCGGCGAAGGAGGGCCAAGAGTGGCGGCGGCAGCGAGGCTCAGGCAGCGCAATGTCTCCCTTCCCATCGGAGCAGCCCCAATCCCATTCCTACTTGCGTGCAAGCAGGAGGGGGCGGGGATCTGTCAGGCAGAGCAATGCCTCCCTTGCCATCGGAGCAGCCCCAATCCCATTCCTACTTGCGTGCAAGCAGGAGGGGGCAGGGATCCTTCAGCTGCAAAGGGAGGCTTCCTGTTGCCTAGCTGAGAGATCCCTGCCCCCTCCTGCTTGCACACAAGCTCTGATCGGCAGCATGAAGCCTCCTTTCACAGCTTAGTTGCTGGGGTCAGGGAAGGTGGAGGCAGCCCAGAAGCTGCGTCTTAGAGCCCCTGCACCACCATCATATGGGGACTTCTGAGCAGCTTCTGAAGCCAGCCAGAGCCAACTGCTCCGGGCTGCTGAGACTGCCGCTGCTGCGTTTCCTGGGGACATTAGATGAAATCCAGGGACATTCCGGGGATGGCATTTATTCACAAATCCGGGGACTGCCCCCCGGGAAACGGGGACGTCTGGTAACCCTATTGTAAACCCAGCTTTCAATCTTATGTGCACACCCCACTTCGTATGCACCTCAGGCTGGCCACCTAGCAAAATCCAACTTATTTTTAAAAGCTTGTACAATGCTGCCACTGGGTGGCTGAACGGGGCACAGCAGCCATTCCAAGCAAGGCAGAAGAGACGCTGGAATGCATCAGAGCAAAAGGAATAGAGTGGGATAAGAGACCAGCTGTCTGCTACAGAGTCAGGCCATTTGTCTTTCCGGGTCAATGCAGTATGCTCTGAACGGCAGCAACCCCCCAGGGATCCAGAAAGGGAGCCTTGCTCAGCCCTAACCCGGAAATGCCGGGAATTGAATCTGGGATCGTCTGCATGCAAAGCGTTGAGCTACGATCTTTCCAACTCAGAAACAAAGATTCTAGTCCCCTTGGTTCTGGATGAAAGGGGGTTTAAAATGGGTTCGCAGAAAGCTGCCTTAAGCTGAGCCAAGCCATCGGTCCATCTAGCTCAGGGTTGTCAACTCTGACTGGCAGCAGCTCTCCAGGGTTTAGGGCTTTCCCCCAGCCCTAAATAGAGACGCCGGGAATTGAACCCAGCACCTTTGGCATGCAAAGCTGATGAGCTAGCATCCTTCCCTGGCGCTTTGCTTGCAAGCAATCTTACCGTGTGAATTTAAGAGGAGTGGTGCTGCTGAACCAGAGCAAAGGTGGTCAGAGCAGAGTCAGGGAAGCTGTAGCTCTCTCGAGATCGTTGGACACTAACTCCCATTAAACCCCCCAGCACCGCCAATGATCGGGGATTGTGGGAGCTGGAGTCCAGCAACATCTGGAGGGCTACAGGAGAGTCACCCCTGGGGTCTGCGTGTCAGACTAGCACCTGAGAGACCAGGCCTCAAAGCCCCACCGATTCATGAAACTCCCCGAGTGACCCTGTCTCTGTCTCTGATCCTACCCTGCCTCACAGGGTTGTTGTGAGGATACAATGGGAAAGGAGGGAGAAATACGTCCACCCCTTTGAGCTCCTTGGAGGAAAGGCGAGATAAAAATGTAGAGGGAACTCCCCATTGACACGGGGGTTACATTCTGAGGCACCGTGCGTTTAAGCAAAATCACGTATACAGTGGTACCTCAGGTTACATACACTTCAGGTTACAGACTCCGCTAACCCAGAAATAGTACCTCAGGTTAAGAACTTTGCTTCAGGATGAGAACAGAAATCGTGCTCCAGTGGCGTGGCGGCAGGAGGAGGCCCCATTAGCTAAAGTAGCGCTTCAGGTTAAGAACAGTTTCAGGTTAAGAACAGTCCTCCGGAATGAATTAAGTACTTAACCTGAGGTACTGGGAACACCATCAAAAAGGCCTGCAAACACCCTCTGGAAACCCTTGAAAAACCAAAAACCCACCAAACTCCACCACATGCGCTCTCTCCAAACTTCCTTGCTTAAAATCCAACTTCCCACAGGCCTCAAATCTCAGTGCAAAGGCTCATGGGACGGCTAGACGCTATTTTTGCGCCGTTTTTGCCCCTCCTCACGCCACGTCCAGGTTTGCGACGATGAGTGCGGTTGTGCATGCCTTGGACGTACAGGAAGTTGCCTGCAACCATTAATTTAAAAGAAAAACAGGCGAAAGTTTGTGGAGGGGGGGTGTTACCTTAAGAAGGCTCTGAAGATCATCTGTGTTATATACGTCCAGAACTTCCATGGCCCCCGAGCTGGCTTTGCTGACCACAGGTGTCAGGGGACAGCTACAAAGAGAAAAGCCCAGGGTAGGGGCAAAAATTATTAAATGCTTCCTGGCAGATCTCCACAAGCTGGTTCTGTTAGCAACACTTGTCTCCGCAGGGGCAGAGAGAATGGAAAAACTGCATCTAACCCACAGCCTGTGCTCAAGTTGGCCTGACGCAGGATTGCTCCAAAGTAAACCCCACCGAGGTCAATGGCACTTGCTCCTAAGGAATTGCAGGCAGGCAGGATGGCGGGGACTGAACCTTCTGCCCCCAAAGCAGATGCTTTATCACGGAGCTCTGGTTGTTCAGCTAAAAACAAATTAAGATTCTAGTCCTCATGCCAGTGCTGAATCACATAGGCAGGTAAGGATCTGGCTCCTCGCATTCAGATGCTCTGCCCCTGAGCTACAGGCCCACCCCCAAAATAATTCACCTGGTGCTATTTTACCTGTTCCGTTGACTCATCACAATCCTGTCGACGCCCAGGAAGTGAGCAGACCGCAGGACGGCTCCCAGGTTCATGGGGTCCTGTATCCCCTCCAAAGCCAGCCAAAGGAGCTGAGACCCCCCTCCCTCTGCCTCAGGGGGCGGAGCCTCCTGCCAGCCAATGGGGCGGAGGGGCGTGGCTTCCAGACACACGCCCTGATGGACACCGCCCTTGCAGAGGCCATCTAGAACCTTCCTTGGAACCACCTTCACTGGAATCCCCCTGTCCTTGGCGCGCCAGGAGAATTCTTCCAGCATAGGCGACGGAGTGCCCTTGCCAGCCTTGAGGAAGAGTTGGAAAAAGTTCCTCTTGGATCTGGCCAGAGCCAAGGAGCAGGGAGCAACCCCAAACAAGATCTCTGAGCCTTTGGTTCGTTCGACGGGGAGGGGTTTCTGCGGGGGGCTCCTCTTCCTCTTGGGGAAATCATCGTTCCTCAAGTTCTTCAGCTCCTCCCTGTCAGACGGCACGGTCTGCGCGCGAAATTGCCGCCAGAACTCGTTCCGAAGGGCACGACCCTTCCAGGGTTTATGTGGCTGGGCCTCGCTCTGGTCCTTGGCTGTTTCAAGCCCATGATCAGGAGTCACTTGGCTGCTCACCCCACCAGGAAGTTCGCGCTCCCCTGCCTGAGGTTTTCTCCGCGTGGAGAGATGTCGGATGGTTCCAAAGGCGCAGGGCAGTCTTGCGGCGTCCCAGAGGCCAGATTTAAAAGACAGGAGAAGTGCCATCTCCGACGTTCAATATGGCTTTCTCCCAACCTTAAAATGGGGGGGGGGGGCAAAGATGTTAAATCAACATGGATTATGTGGTCTTTCTGGAAAATCCTGAAAACAGAAACTTTTCTCAATATCTCCTGCCCAGAGTTTCCACTTTTAAACGGTGTGCTATATTATCATATATTTGAATCATGGGCATTTACATTTTAACGGCCTGATGAACATAGTTTTGCTCTGTAATTTAGCTATTTTGAGAATTGCGCAATTAGTTGTTATGTTTTGTAAGCCCTACCTGAGCATGCATAATAATTATAAAATAACAATTATAATAATAAATTCCCAAATCAACTTTGATCTGATGTGCTCTAGGCTTTTCACTTGGCCTTGACTCCCCCACCCAGCAGTTCATGCAGGAATTATTACTTATCACTCATAAATCATCTACCGTTTGCTAAGCAATTTCAGCTGAATTTGGGGGAACCACTTGAAGCATCCGTTGTGTTGAGCTACTTCAATTGCTTTTGTTTTATGCACTCATTGCAAACAGCTGAAAGTCTGTAAATTTTGATAATAAACCTGATTTGCAATGGGGGTTGAATAATTCCGATAGCAATGCTAGGAGTCTTACTGAGTATTAGTAAAGCAGAGCATCTGCTTCCATGTAGAAGGCCCCAGGTTCAGACCATGGCATCTCTGGGTACCATCTCAAACACCACAGTGAGTCAATGTAGGCAAGGCTGAATTAGACAAGCCAATGGGTCTGACTCTGTACACAGCATCTTCCTATATTAAATCAGCCCTTAATTCAGAACCATGAGAACGTGTTTGGGCTAACCAGTGTGGTGTGATGGTTAGAGTGCTAGCCTCTAGAAGACCAGGCTTTGAATCCCCAGTCAGCCACTGGGTGACCTCACTGTCTCTCATCCTAACCTACCTCACAAGGTTGTTGTGAGGATAAAAAGGGGAGCGGAAGAGCAGAGAAAGCCATGCACACACCACGTTGAGGTGGTGGCATAATAAATGGCAATCCATATCCAGCCTAGGTTTGCCTGAGCATCTTTTAAAAGCCACCCACGCCTGAAGGTCATCGCTGCACCCTGGATAACAGCAGCTAAAGCCACAGCTACATCCCAGTAGCGATGTATGGAAGTGAGAGCTGGACCATAAAGAAGGCTGATCGCCGAAGAATGGATGCTTTTGAATTATGGTGCTGGAGGAGACTCTCGAGAGTCCCATGGACTGCAAGAAGATCAAACCTCTCCATTCTGAAGGAAATCAGCCCTGAGTGCTCACTGGAAGGACAGATCCTGAAGCTGAGACTCCAATACTTTGGCCACCTCATGAGAAGAGAAGACTCCCTGGAAAAGACCCTGATGTTGGGAAAGATGGAGGGCACAAGGAGAAGGGGACGACAGAGGACGAGATGGGTGGACAGTGTTCTCGAAGCTACCAGCATGAGTTTGACCAAATTGCGGGAGGCAGAGGAAGACAGGAGTGCCTGGCGTGCTCTGGTCCAGGGGGTCACGAAGAGTCGGACACGACCAAACGACTAAACAACAACAACAACAATCCAGCCTAGGTTTGCTTGAGCATCTTTTAAAAGCCACCCACGTCTGAAGGTCATCGCTGCACCCTGGATAACAGCACCGCGAGGCCCTTCCAGTAGTTGCCCTCAGGGACGAAGGCTCGAAAGGTTTGGGTTTGGCAAATTCTGCTCCTCCTTCCCTTCCTGAATTTGCAAATAGAAAAGTTCAAGTTGCTAGTCCCTGTGGGCTGCGGAGCCAGTAACAAACTCAGCTGAAAACGGGGGGGGGGGAGAGGGAGAGATCTGCAGCCCAGCCTCCCTGCCCAAGCTGCTCTCCATCCAAACTGCAGCAACCCCGTCCAGGATTGCATTCCCTCCTGGCAGCGCGCAAACCTACCTGGCCACCCACGTGGGCTGCTGCCTTCTCCGCCTGAAGAGGAAGTGGCCTCCAATCATAGAGGCCACGGCAAGAGAGCGTCGTGCTTGTCCCGCAGCGCCACCTGCTGGCTAAGCCATTTAGCTGCGTCGAGGAGCGTAGAAAGATGCCTGGCTTATGTAGAAGCAAGCCGGGGGGGTGTCAGCGTTGCCTACACTGACCGGCAGCAGCAGCAACTTGCTAGGGCTTCAGATAGGGGTCTTTCCCCATCCCTACTTGCGAGATGCCAGAGATTGAACCTGGGGCTTTCTGCCTCCCTGGTTCGGAAGGGCGGGCTTGCGATGATTCCCCATCCATCTTTCATGTTTATCATTAAATTCGTATTTTTCTTTAAAAGAAGTACAGATCAGAAACACAGTTTCCCCCTTTGTTTTTATTTTACAATTCACAGTTAAAGAACATACTGATAGGTTAGAGCGTTTTCTGCATCACTGTCATAACTCGAGGGATTTTTAAAACACACACACAGAATTCTTCCTTTATTCTTTATTTTTGCCATTGCAGTGCTAGAATCCCAGCTGTTCCATCCAGCTGATCCCAAATGAGCCCACCCTAAGGGAGATTTGAACAGGCAGCAGAGATATAGCCGGGAGTCTTGCTTAGGAAAACCCCTGTTCAGAAAATTTGCACCAAGGCAACTGGTAGCGTGAGGCAGCCCACCTAATAAACAGTACCTCTGCAGAACACACTGGAGTGTTTTGGAGAAAGAGTGAGGTGAAATGATCCTTGTGGTCCCTTCTAACTCTACAATTCTATGGTTCTAAATAAGGTTGGTAATTCAAGGAGGAGAAGTGGTTCTGTGGAATTAAACAAGTCAAACAGAATCTGGAGCCTTAACAGTGTTTTTACTCCAAAGGAAGTCCTATTGTGCTCAGCAGGGTTTATTCCCTATGTGTGCCTTTGGGATTAAAGCATCAGACAGAGGTTGGCAAAATGTAAGAGGAGTCCTGCTAAATCGGATCAAAAGCCTGTCTTGCCCAACATCCCGTTTCCGACACTGGTCAGCCAGATACTCCAAGCAGAGCCTGAAGGCAACCTCCTTCTCCTGTTGTTTGCCCCACAGCAACTGAAATTGAGAGGTAGACTACCTCTATACCTGGAGGCTCCATGAGTGTAGGTTGATCTCTGCAAATGTTGCCTAAGTCATCTAAGTTGGTGGCCCCATCAGGCAGCTACCAGCTGCCCATCTCCATCACTGTTCTTTGAGATTGGCTGAATCAGGCAGCTGGAAGTCTCCTCTGATTCATTGTACACTATTCCTCTCCTAGAGTGCACAATCAGGCAGGGTTGTTGTGTTTTAAAAAGGTGGGTAGTTGCAATGAGGTACCCTTGCACTACACACAAACATCCACACTTCTCTCTATAAAAATGTATTTGCTCCACACACACACACCCCCAACATTTTAGGTAAAGGTAAAGGGACCCCTGACCGTTAGGTCCAGTCGCAGACGACTCTGGGGTTGCGGCACTCATCTTGCTTTATTGGCCAAGGGAGCCGGCATACAGCTTCCGGGTCATGTGGCCAGCATGACTAAGCCGCTTCTGGCGAAACCAGAGCAGTGCAAGGAAATGCAGCTTACCTTCCCGCTGTAGCGGTACCTATTTATCTACTTGCACATTGACATGCTTTTGAACTGTTAGGTTGGCAGGAGCAGGGACCGAGCAACGGGAGCTCACCCCGTTGCGGGGATTCAAACCGCCGACCTTCTGATCGGCAAGGCCTGGGCTCTGTGGTTCAACCCAACATTTTACATGAACCGAATACATCATTAACAAATTGTTGTATTACTTTGTTGTTCATAAAATGTGGTGCGGGCACCCATGAGTGGCCAGAGCAGCCTTCACAAACCGGGTGCCTTTCCAGCTCCTTTGAACGACAGCTGGGGCTGATGGGAGTTGCAGTCCAAAGCAGCTGAAGGGCACCAGGTTGGCAAAGGCGGGCCTTGAAGGAGGTTTAGCCTCACCACAGACAATTTGGTTTAATAGCCGTCCCCCATCTTCCCTAGGAACCCTGGGAAGCGTAGTTTTGTGATCGGGGAATAGTTAAGAGGTCGCTAACAGCACCGTTACCCCCTTTCTCCAAGCTACACTTCCCGGGATTCTGTTTTGGAAAGGAAGTCGCAACAGCTAAAGCGGTGGTGGGAAACAGAGTCATTCTGCGACAGAAAATGGCGACTCCTGGCTCAAGCATCTTTCTAGCCAAATGGATATTAAGGCGAATCCTCAGCACCTGCGGTTCCAAAGGGGGAATTGTTGTTGCAGTGCTCATCAGAGACGGATTGGAGAGAGACGCAGAAACCAAGGCTTGTTTGAGAGTTTGGGGTGGTAGCAAAGAGCAAGGAGGAAAGAATGCTCCACGTGGCATTTACGGGGAAGTTGGCAGCAATTCAGCAATGGAGGGAAGCTGGTAAGTCATTCATCAAAAGCCAGCTAGGCCGTCTTGGACATCCTAAGCTCCCACACCCCTGAAGTCAGTTGAGGTTGGATTCTGGGATCGGCTTCTCTGTTACTTCTGCATGAAGTAGAGCATGGTGGAGAAGACTTCCGCAATCAACTGCGCCTTTCCTTTTTGAGTTTCCGCTCAGCTGACGTCGACTCAAAATGGGAGAGTAATGGGGGAGAGGGAGGGTCAATTCTTCCTATTGCAGCACTTAAAACGTCACAGAAGGATAACCCTGAGCGGATCAGTGGCGCTCCGTACCCCCTGCTGTGCCACACCAGCAGCAAATCCTCTTCCGTTCGCTATGATACCTGCTCAGTAGGCCGCATCTGAATGTCACCAATCTAGAAGAGACAACGGCACATGTCAGCCAAAGTGTTGTGGAACCGAAACAGAACAAAACGCTTTAAGAATTTTAAGGTGGCTCTGAGTGCGTGTGTCCACTGGTACATCTATCTGGGGATTATGCTGCATTCTCCCTAGACACCTTCCAGAAACAGCATCACACCACCATGCTCTTTGTGAAGTGTCTCATAGTCCCAGGAAAATGGATTCTCCCAGAGGATGGATGGAATTTCCCATGAACCCAAAAATAACCCCGTGCCGGACCATAAACTAGGCAAGAGGACTCTGAATACCACAACCCCTCTCTCTGTTGTGCTGATATCCGAAGCTCGTTTGACAGGAACTCAAGAAAGGGCTTTCTCAAGGCCTGCTTGCTACGTTCCGGAACCTTCTTCTGCTCCCTTTCTAATGGTCTTCTGTTGACCGATGAAGACCTTTTTATTCAGATCAGGGGTCCGGAAGCCACAGCCTTCCAAACATTTTTGTCTCCAATCTCTATCAGCTCCAGCTGATGCTTTTAGACATGAATTGATAATTTCATGTTGGTATATTACATGGGTGTTTTGTAAACTGCTTTTGGTTGCATTTACAAGTTTTTTCACTCAATCAATCCAGGTTCATGGGAACTGGAGCCCAGTGGCATCTAGAGAGCTACAGATTGCCTGATTCTGACACAGGAAAGAAATCTCAGTTGCCACAATCAGAGAGAGAGAGAGAGAGAGAGAGAGAGAGAGAGAGATGACACAGTTTTGAGCACTGCCTACCTTAGACCAGATGTAGGGAAACTTTGGCCCTCTGAACCACAGCTCCCTTGATCCCATTCTTGCTGTAGCTCGGCAACACATGGAGGGCCAATGTTTTCCTGCACTAGCCTGAGGTCCACACACAGAATCCTCTGGCAAGCCGCAGGCAGGATCCCTGCATTGCAGTGGGCTGGACTAGATCACCCTCCCTTGCAACTCTACAATTCTATGGTTCTTCCCCATCCCCTGGGCAAAGGAGACAAGGGCTGGTCGTTATGGATCCAGACGCCAGCCTGAGGAACGCATCGAGCTGAAGGGAAAGATAACCCCTGCATCTCTGTCCTTTCCAGCACAACCAACAGATGCAGAGGCCTAGTCAACAGGAAAAAGAAGCCTTCCTTTCTTCTTCTCCTTGAATTGAAGGGGTTGCGCTGGTTTTTCGACTGACCTGCACGTGAGGTGGAGCACTGAGCACATATATGACGGCGTTGGCCATATCTTCTGCTTTTAGACACTGGAAGGAGAGAGGAAAACGAAGAAATGAGAATTAGTTTGGTTGCAGCAGGCCTCGAAGTGCGTGCACCCTCAAAGACTTCTTGCTGAGCTCATACACTTCACGGTTTGGGGCCCTCGCTTTCAAAAGACTGCTACCCCACAACGTCTTCTGCTTCTTACAGGGTGACTTGCTTTCTGGCATCACAAGTAGCCCCCGAGAGCCTTTATCCTTCATGAATTTGTATATTTCATATTTAGAGTCATGCAACTGGCCTTCACTTCACCTTGTGGTTGCAAAGGGACAAAACCATGGAGGAGAAGGCCATCCACAGCTACCAAGCCATGAGAGCGATGTTCTACCTCCTCCCCTGGAGGAGCCAGGAGGCTTCTGATCCCATTTGCCGGGAATTGCAGGTGGGGAAGAGTTGCTCTTGAACTCAGGCCCAGCTTGCAGGTTTCACTTTGGGGCATGTGGTCGGCCTCTGTGAAAGCAGGTCGCTGGTCCAGATGGGCCTTTGGGTCGATCCAGCAGCCAGGTTCTTTTATGTAACAACAGCAACAGATCATAGATTGAGCCAGGGTGGCGTAATGGTTAAGAGTCCTAGATTTGGACTCTTAGCCGTGAAGCTCACTGGGTGACCGTGGACTGGGCACTGCCTCTCAGCCTAACCTACCTCCCAGGGTTGTGGTGGGGATTAAATGAGGAAGGGAAGAACCATGTATGCCACCTTGAGCTCCTTGGAGAAAAAGGTGAAATATAAATGCAGTAAATAAGGTAAAGGGTAAAGGGACCCCTGACCATTAGGTCCAGTCATGGCCGACTCTGGGGTTGCGGCGCTCATCTCGCTTT